GCGTTGCTATGGATGAGTGAAATAATCGCAGAAAATTGTTTAGACAAGCTGCTAATAAAATTCGAATCGCCATATTATTAGCCAACTTCCAAAAGGGAGAGTTTGCTTGTACATGTTACGGGCAATGTAAATAATTGGGCTTTGTTTATAATGCCCGGGCAATTTAAAAAGTGCCCAAAAGGATATGACAAAATGATAAATTATGTTGCAAATATTACATTTTCCGGTCATTATGTATAATGGCAAAAGTCATGTGGGCAATGTAAAAATCATTTTTATTCATGTTTCTTTAAAAAAATAACAATTTTTCTCATACCTAACTGACAAAGTAACAAACAAAAAATAACAGTTAAAATTTCACATGCTCACAAACAAACCGGTAAAATAAGTACAAACGAAACTTAAGTCCAAATAAAAATAATGTATTAGATATGTATGTTCTTACAAATTTATAGTTACACAAAATGTTAATATGTAGCAATACATAGAGGGTCTATTTATTAGAGCAGCTTCCACTTTGGTGACATTTCGAGTTGAGTTAAGCTATATGTTTTTTTTCTTTCGACACTTGCACTTGTCGGATTTACAGCCACCTTTACAGCCACATCGACTATAGCCTGTCTTGGATGACAATCGTGCACATTCTCTTAGTGAAATATCTGTCTGCTGAATATCTTTGCCATATATCAACTTCTCATTACATATTGTAAAATGGTTCCTGGCATAAAGTTGATTTAGAATTCCGTCTTATTAGCATTTGTTTCTTCAAGAACAAATGCCAACATATTTCTTCCATCGGTGCGCCTTCTGTCGACATCTGGGACTCGAACTCTAACTTTATCATCTTTTTTAGCATCCGGATATTTTGAGTTAAAAGTTTGAACCATTTTTACAGCTTGTTTTTTCAGATTGCTTGCTGAAATCTGCCTAATTTTTAATATGTCGGCTTTCCTTTTTTTCACATAGGGTTCTTCCGGGGAATCTTCATGCCCGAAAGATTCTGGAAATTCTTTATTATATAAATCTGGGCTTGGTTTAGCTGGCAAAGTCGATTGAACATAACTATCAAGAGAAAGTAGTTCCTCCTCATCATGTTGACTTGGACCTGGTAGCTCCGCTGACACATGTGACTCTGGTTTATTTTGTAGTGGACCTTCTTCTACGGACTGTAAATTGTTCTGATCTTTTACTAGAACTTCTAAGTCCTCTTCACAATTTCGATTATGCAGAACGTCTGTGGGTGAAAAGCTTTTTAGAGCTACTTTTAACTTTGTCCCAAACATGGCCTCATACGGAGTACAGTTGATGCCACTATGATGAGCTCTGTTCTTCAGTAGCTGTACAAAACGTAAGCCTTCTGACCATTTCCTGGTCTTCTTGTCACGAACAAAGCAAATTTTCCATGTCCTGATTCGCACGTACTACGAAACCCTGACCTTGAGAGTGTCTGGGCTTCCCATGCACCATCTTCAACTCGGGCCACATGCCAGTATCACTTTGCAAAATACTGGGCGCTCCAAAAATTGCAAAAATATCCAAAAGCGCAAAAGCTACTTCTTCTGCTCTTTTGTTTTACTTTTACAAGATGGTCTTGTATACAAGCATGAATTTATATTGATCATCAATTTGTGACTGGTTGTCAATTAAATCGACTTGAAATCTTGAATTAATTTCATTTCTTTTTCCATTAATTTCATCAATTAATGAAAGTGCCCAAAGAAATAATAACAGTATTTATAATGACCGGGCAATGTGAGAAATTATCGTAAAGTAACTCAAATTTATCAAATTGCCATTATTCATAACAACCAAGCATTATGAGTACTGACCTAAACAATTACATATTATGTATGTATATAGTAACATACATACAAGAGCAAAAAGACCAAAAGAAATACTGCTTGGGGTATAATTAATTTATTTTGTTGGTAATTTAACTTAAAATGTGTGAATTTTTAAGTGTTAAACAACCGAATTGACCTTAATGTAGGTAACTGAATGGTTTGTAGTACTCTTATGGACTACGTTTTACGTGCCTATGAAAGATGGCAGAGCAAAAACTCTCTTACATAAGTAGCATCTTTTGCCAGTTTTTCACTCGTGGCGTTTTGTGACGAGCCCTCTTTAACCTAGACCTAAATATCCATAAAAGCAACATCAATGGGGGGAAAAACGATTTTCGACAAAGGGCGAAGAGCAGAATAGATGACTCAAATTGAATTTTAATGATGCTAGCCGGGTATTCTTCTTTCGTTTTGATAATCTGACTAGACCAGTAATTGGAAAAGTTTTGAATGGTATATCAAAATTTTGATTAATAAAACTAATTTCACTTTTAAATGTTCTATAATCGGCCTTAGGAGCAATGCGGGGTAAAATGTCAAACGAATGCATTTTAAATATATACAACGTTTTGGTCATCAATAACATGTGTGCAGCAAACAAATTATACATTTTTGACTGTACCTTCTACCATGAGTCATAGGTAGTTTGGCTTAGTTACAGACATGGTTAGTCAAAAGGCGGCTGCTCATATAAAGTGTGTATTATGAAAATCAAATCATACCAATAATAATTAAAATTTAACTCTAAACTTTAATTGTTATTGTAAAACATTTTCCAAAAATTCCACCATTATTATCAATGCAAAGATTGGAACGCGTTAAAACTGAATAAGTTGCTTTTCTTGCGGACCGACAATCAATATTTTCAAATGCTCTAACAACAGCATCTTTAAGTGCATTTAAATTGGAGTATTTGTTTTTGTAAACCGTGTTTTTTACGGCTCCCCACAAAAAGAAATCCAAAAGTGAAAGATCGCGTGATCGAGGTGGCCATAAAATAGGGCCGTTTCGGCCAATCCAAGCCCCAGTAAATGTTACGTCCAGGTGATTCCACACTTCGGAAAAATGTCTTGTTGGAATTACGGAATTATGGAATTACGGAAAAATGTCTTGTTGGAAATTATGTACAACAATTCACACGCATCTCCTCATCCCCTGGATGTGAAGTTTGGTATACTGATAAATTATACGGATGGAATTTTGGTTTTTTAAAAACTCTCATCACGGTGCTTTGGAAAGTTACGGATTCTGCTGCGATCTCTCTGGTTGAAATCTGTGGGTTCTAGCTTACAATGGCAAAGACATTAACCTCCACAGCCTCATTTATTACTTTATCTTCATTTTTTGGCTGCGTAAAACTTTCCCAAGTGCCCAAATTGTCATATAATTGTTTGAATGTTTTCAAGGACCGTTGATAACGGTCAGGTCAACATACCTCTCGAAATAGTATTCAGAGGCTTGTCTAGCATTTTGAATCACATCGAATGTAGGTTCCAATCATGTTGCGCTTTTCTTGATTGAAATAATTCATTTTTACAATAAAACTAACTTATGTTTCTAAGTTGAATTTAAACTTGAATGTGAAAAGTTGGAAGCGATAATCAAGTATGGTTGCCATTTAAAAAAACTTACATTTGTTGCATATCTCAAAAATTATAGTTATTTTGGAAAAGCGTCTTATGCCATTTTATTTGGAATTCAATTTTCTACAAGTTCTATATTTAATGTTTTCCTGTCAAATTAATATCAACGGAACTAGAAGTAATTTAAAAATTGACCGTAAATAAGTTTATCCCTCATATCTCTTGACAGCTGTCAAATAAAAAAAAAGAAATTTGTTTCGAATAAAGCATTCTAAACTACAATTCTTTGTCCATTTAACCTTTTTCGTAACTGCTATAGTTACGAAGATCCTTGAAACTGGTTATTGAAAAAAAACTCGACCTGTATACTAAGCTCCCAAGTCAACATTCCTACAATTCCCCATTCTTGGGAAAGAGAAAAGCCGTATGTATTAGATCATCTGTCTTTATATAAATACCTTATAATAAATCACCTTAACGTCTAATTTGCGCTTTTGCATTCGTCATTTAGGCGTCTTTATGACTGGCCATTTAGACGTCTAAACGTCTTAACGACTGGTCATTCAGACCACTTTATGACTCGTCATTTAGACGTTATAAAGCTGTGACTTACTTACGCCAGTTGGACGTCAAACTTATATAAGACCAAAAAATGTGCTCACTTGTACGTCATCCAGGCGAAAAATGCTGCTTGGGTGAGTATAAACGTGTTAGCGTACTATTGAATATCTAACTGTCTGTATAAATAAAACTAATCTAAAAACTTTTAAAACGTATTTTGATATGAAAATAACACCCGTGCCTTCAACAGTAATGATATGCTTTCCAGCAAACTTAAGTGCTCGTAAGTCGCTTTAATCCCAACCAAAAACCACCTACTGGTGAAGGACTGAATGTTTTTTTACATAATTTCAAAGGAACTGTTGTTACTTTGGTTGGTTCTATTTCAAAGTTTAACAGCAAGTGATAAAATAAAGTCTTCAGTTCTAAAAGCGCAAATCTTGAAGCAATACAGTTTCTAGGACCAGCACCGAAAGGCACATATGTGTACGGCTTGATATTGCCTTTATTCTCATCTGAAAATCTTTCCGGGTCGAATTTTGTAGGGTTTTCGAAATTTTTTGGATCTCTATGAAATCCAAACATTGGAATCCAAAATAAATCCCCAACTTTTAAATGAACTGGTTTTTCATCGGCGTTTACCGGCTTAATAGTATACGGTTTAGTAGCAACTCTGTCGACTACTCCTGCAGGCGGCCACTTTCGTAAAATCTCTAAAAGTAAGAAAATATCACATCAAAAAATTTTTTTCATCTGTATTAATGATATTATATGTAATATTTGTGGAATTTATTACGAATCTAATGGAAAGCACTGATAACAACTTATCTGGAACTTGAGAATGATCTTTAAATATTAGGTTTAGCTCGCAGCAGAAAACATTTGATTGCACTAAAGACAAAATATCATTTAATATGGGGTTGTAAATTAAACAATTATTTACCGGATATCACCTTATCCATATACTTCATCTTCAGCAAAGAGTCATATGTTACTTTACCACCATTTAACTTGTGGGTTTCAACAATTTCACTTCTTAATTTATTCTGTATTTCCTTGTTAACTGCCAGCTCATAAGAACCAAAACTCATAGCATTTGAAATAGTATCAAATCCAGCCAAATAGAAAACCATTGCTTGAGCAGCTATATCGGCATCTGTTAAATTAGCGAACTGTGGCCCTTTACCTAGAAATGATTTCAGTTCACACATACACATCATATTTGAAAAACGAATAATATAGGGTGTCCCGAAATTAGGGGGCCAAACTGAAACAGTGAAATCTGTTCTCAAAAATAATATAAATTTTTCAAATGAACATGCCAACGATTTTTCCAGCACGTACAGAATTTTGCCGTTGGATTCTAAGCCACCAACATGATTTAAATAGCATTTTATGGTCGGATGAGGCAACCTTTTCAAGAGGCAAATCATTCAACAGTCATAATACTCATTTTTGGAGCCTCGAAAATCTGAGGGTTCTTCGAAGGGCAAACTTCCAACATAGGTTCATTTCAATGTATGAGCAGGAGTCATAGGAGATATCTTGATAAAACCAATTAGGTTAAATACCCATAATTATTTAAATTTTCTAAATTTTCCACAACATGATCTGCAAGAACTGCTAGAGGATATTCCCATAAGAACTCGGTTAGAAATGTTCTTCCAGCCATTCTTCCTGATGATGAGGCCCCAGCCCACTTTGCCCAACCTGTGAGAAATTGGCTAAACCAACATTTGCCAAGCAGATGGATAGGTCGAGGTGGCCCAGTAAACTGACCAGGTCGATCGCCTGATCTAAATCCTTTGGATTATTATTTGTGGGATAATATGCCCAATATTATTTATGCTACAGAAATATATAGCTCAGAAGAGCTTCTAAGCGGATTTGTGCGACCGGAAATCAAATAAAACAAGCCCTTTTTGAAATTCTCCGTGCCGCCCAACAAATTAGGAAAAGGTCCAGAGTGTGCATTCAAGAAATTGGAAATTTGTTTGAACATTTACTCCAATAAATTAGTGTCGATTATAATATTTACTTAAAATATAAAATGTGTATGTATAGCAGTGATATTTTTAAAGTGATTTAGTTGGAAAATGGTGCGTCTGAGCGAAGTACATTAAGAGTGCCTTTTCTTCGTCAAATCCTTCAGACTTCCACAATTTGTAGAAATAATATTGATTTAGAGTCGCAGAAAAAAGTTAGACCTTTTTTGTACTTCTACCCCCCAAATGATACGGCTATGATGAAATTCTGCCAGTTTTAATTTCAGATCTAGATTTAGCATGCCAAAATTACTAAAGTTCCTAAAATTAACGACTTGAAGTTCAACGGTTTAGAAATAATTTGCAAAAAACCCTACTTCTGGGCCCCTCGTCAAGAAGGCGTAGCTCCGTTAGGGAACATTTTTTCATACATGTTCATTTGAAAAATTAATATTCTTTTTGAGAGCAGATTTCACTGTTTCAGTTTGGCCACCTAATTTCGGGACACTGTATTATATGTAATGGGGTTCTTCAAACATGGATTTCCAAGAACTTGTTTCCAAATTCACCCATTTTTTGGCTTCGACAACCCACAGAGTGCCCGGAAAAGGTGTGACCACCACTTAACGAGGCAAATCTAAAGCAGAAAGAAGTGTGACAAGAGCCTATAACACTTTGCGATTGCGAAACGTTAAGAATAACGGATATACAGGGCGTTAAAGTTATATCTAAAAAACACTTTTTTGGAAAAACTTTTTTGTTGTCTCATCTCATTGTTTTAAAATAATTTGTTTAATTGGTAAAAAGTTGACATTTAGCTGTTAATGCTAATAATGGGTTGAACTCACGGAGCACTCACTTGGGCACGCTGTGTTTAAACTTGGAAATAATTTAACGTGCGTTATTACTGACGCCGCGCAAGACAATTTTAACAGTAGATGTTTTCGAAAACCGCTCATTTTAGAGAGATGTCACAAGTAAACTTTTTTACGTAATTTTTAAGGCACTTTGGTTTTTTAAATCAAACACAATTAAAAGTGGAAAATAAGAAAGTATATGTTATTAAGTAAATGACATGGATGCGTTCAACTCTGTAGCGTTAACGCATAAATGTCAACTTTTTACCAATAATACAAATGATCATAAGTAATAAGTGTACCAAATTTTGAAACAATCCAATAGCCCGTAAAAAAGTTATTTCTAAAAACTTTAACGCCCTCTAGATCCGTTATTATTTACTTTTTGCGAGAGTGTTATAGGAACTTGTCACACTAATTTTTGCTGTGGAGTTGCCCCGTTAAGTGTTGGTGGCACCTTTTGCGGAGGACACCCCGTGTCTGTATCCTCCAAATCCTGCCCGACCTGTCAAGGAAAATAGTCACGAAAATAGATTACCGGAACATTCAAAAATAAAAAAAAGTTGATTAAATTGTGATATAGAAAAACCGAGACATTAATAATTGCTTCCGTTACTGGCATTTATTAGCAAATAATGTGGATTCAATTTGAAGCCTGAAAATAATTAAATTCTTTGACCTCTAATCTTCAAACGGAGAGCTTTTCTAACTTGTTCACTTTCGACTTTTTCTTCATAAGTAGTAGTGCTCAAGATTTATTAATTATTAATCTATTAATTTTCTAGTCATAAATTTGAAAAGGTAAATACAGTTTGATTAAATAAGTATAAAATTCTATATGTTCATATTTCTTGCTCATTTAGTAGCATTAAGATAATCATAACTCGGATGGAATTGTAATTACCCAAAAAAAAGTAGAGCTACCAAAAAGTGGGAGTTACTACGGGAGTTTTCAGAAAGTAAAGCTTGCAAAGAAAAATTTTGGTTAAGTATCTGAATATTGAGTTATTTTGCTGTGAATTTCTCCAGTATTAACATTTTCTTTGATCTTCTAAAGACTGAACTTTAGTGTAGTGTTACTGTGCAATGAAATCAAACGAGTGAAAAGTTTCAGTCACTTTCAATTTATCATTTAAGACGACCACAGATTGGAAAAATAATTTAATTTTTATTGAGATCATAAATCATCAAATTCAGGAAAATATCAAATCAGTTAGCCTTTTAGTAGCGTCAAACTGCTCGCATGGTGAGATTTAGATCATCGGTCAATTGATATTTCAAAAGCTTGCTTAAATCAAATTTATTCAATAATAATCAAAAGCTTAATTAAAAGTTCTCACAGCAATAAACCAAGTTAATAACCAATAATTGAAGCACCCTGAACCTTTATGCATAGAAAAAATATAGCCTGTGTATACATATACATACCAGAATGTGTATATTCTTTGACAGTAGCAAAACCTGTCTCTATAGTTTCAGAATATTCATGTTGAGTTCCTTTTCTTGCCTCTAATAATATATTTAACATGTCTTCTCTAACTATGCCTTTTTCCTCTCGAACTTGAATAGTCTCCTTAATAGTTTTGTAGAAAAACGATGATATGTCTTTATCAAATAGACTAATTTTCAGCAACTGAAACGATAGCACGATAGTTGGTACTCGCAGAGCATAGACGGGGTAGTCCGTAATTAATACGTTTTAGGTGTAGCTGCTGATGCTAGATATCAAAAGTATAGGATTAATCAAACATGCATTAGTAAAAAAAGTTTCGGAACTGGACTGGAAAAACGTTGACGAATCCTGCAAGACAAAAGATAAAGAAATTGGCAAAGAAACAAACATTAAGGATAGGATCCTGAAACACTACATCATTTAATGCCAAAGACAGGAAATAATTGAAGAATTAGTTACAAATAAGATCGATATATGTGGCACCCAGGAAACAAAAACGAAAAGCAAAGGCCAGAAAGAATACGGTACCCACACCGCGAAAATACCTGTTGGTCCGTAATTATTTAAAACTCCGGTAACCATGGAATTACACAGAGTGACAATAAGATAGACAAGGATAAACGGTAAATTGAACAATATTTGTTGACTGCGGAACGTACTTTCCAAATGTAAACCTGTTCTCATAACCTAGAACACCAAATATTTGAATGGTTAACTCCAAACAAGCTAGTGCCTGTGTCAACAATCTGCTTATTATCCACTCTGTTCAAGCAGCTTCTCGTATTCAGTTACTTAACTCCTGCTCCATTTGTATCGAACGTAGTGGGAATGTAGCCCTTCCTCGGTTTTTATTTGGTGTTTGGGAAAGTGCCAGTTATTGTGTTTTGAGTGCCCCTGGAAGGCCCTGATTCGCTATGTCCAATACTTGTTCCTCTGTGCCTGGAACCCGAAAATTGATTGACGTCCACTATCTTCTTGGAACCACTCTCCTCGCTCGTTGTTGGCGTGAGTTATTTAGCTTCTGCTATGTTACTGTAGCATTTCCCCTGAACTAGTCGCATATTTGCAAATTCGTGAAAGGAAGTTCAAAGTAAGTCACAGTTTGACAAATTATTGCATTATTGTCAAGGGCTATCCACCTGTAACTATCTGTTAATGGAAAAAAATAGCATTGCCGCTGTGACTTTTCATCAAAAAATTGTAGAAGAGAACTTTTTGGTATAAAAAATTTTCGTAATTTGAAGCAAAGATCGTAATTTTAATTTTTGAATCTTTAAGTATGCCAATATGCTACCAATTAAACATGGAACAATTTAAAAATAATGCTTAATAACAAAGTTGAAATTTGATCTTCAACTGCTAATATCTTCCAGAAATTTTCGAAAACTAAATTTTCAATATTTTTCTCGTACTCCCCAAGGGAGCCTCTATAACCCCTTTAAAAAGAATGACGCCAATTTTGAATCACCCTGTATTTTGCATGAAATTTGCGCTATTTAAAAAAATTGTGTTTTGCTTGTTGCAACATTGACGAGCGCAGAAAAATAGACAATTTGAGCGACTGTGAGACTGAACTTGTAAGAAAGTTATAATTTAGAAATTGTAAGTAAACTTGAAATTATAATTAATAGTTGTTGATAAACCTACGTAATTTATTAAAAAAGCATATTGGTTACTTATTAATAAAAAATACTTTAAAAAATATACTAACAGTGACAGGTTCAATTTGTCACATTTACTTTTGCGCAAATATGCGTAAAAGTCCGTGCGTAAAAGTAAAACAAATGAACAGCAAAGAAAAGTGCTTCTTTATGATCATCGCTTCCGATCAAAAAATGGAACTTTTAGATTCATTCGAATAAAAAGAATATTATACATTCAGTTAAACGTTGGAAATAAAAAACTAAATATTCTTTCCATCTATGCATCCGACGAGCCGAAGTCGAAACACGAACGAGAGCAATTTTATGAGGAGCTGGAAAGTAACCTAGAACCCATATTCACCTAAGAATATACCATACTACTCGGAGACGTTAATGCACGGATAGGCAACAGCATTATACCAGGAGTGAAGCAACGAATCAATGAGGAGCCACTTAAGACAAATGGAGAACTGAAGATAGATAGAAGTTACTATAAATGAAGTTGGAACAGCCTTGATATCATTAAAAAACAGAAAATCCTAGAACCAGACGGGCTCCAGAATGAATTACTTAAATACGGAGGCGGAAAACTAACACAAATACTAAAATATATTATTCAGAACATTCTAACACAATGCAGAATCCCTGACATATTGAAAAAAAGTACAACAATTTTAATGTTTAAAAAAGGATACAAACAGGAACAAACTGCTTAAAAGAGGCATAAACTTGCTAGATACTGCACATAAACTAATGACCATGGTTACTACTAATAAGCTTAAATCTATTATTTCACTCTCAGGTGAGCAACAGGGTTTCAGAGCTGGAAGATCATGTGTGGATGCTGTATTTGTACTGAGCAAGATAGTAGAAAAAATCATAGGATATAATAAACCGGCCTTTCTATGCTTTATTGTCCTGAAAAAAGCATTCGATCGGGCAAAATGGAGGATATAGTACACCTGTTATACAAAAGAGACATACCCAGCAATAAAATCCAAACCATAGAAGACATTTACGACGGCACCAAAGTTCAGTCCCGCATTAATGGAAATTTAACAAGTCACATACCAATTAACAGTGGAATCAGGCAAGGAAAGTCACTGAGCCCATTGCTCTTCAATGTTATTATGGATGAAATAATAAAAAAAAGTACGACTTGGCAACGGGTATCATCTGGGCGATACTGAAATAAAAATACTCTGCTACGCGGACGACGCCGTAATCGTTGCGGAAGATGAGAACGATCTGCAGAGATAACTTCACACTTTCTACACAACAGCAAAAAAATATAACATGATAATATCAACAGACAAAACAAAATGTATAACGACGTCAAAAGAGCCACTTAGATGTAAACTTGAAGTAAATGGAGAAGTAATGAAACAAGAAATGAAGTTCAAATACCTGGGCATAGAATAATAAAAGCAATAAGACCCATCATGACTTATATAGCAGAAACAAGACTTGACACATCGAAAACAAAACAACTTCTAGAAACAACGGATATGAAGATACTAATGAGAATCACAGACTTTGATGGATAGAGAAAGGATTGAGAACATTACACAAATGTGTAAAACGGAGAGCATCAATGATTGGGTATCGGAGAGAAAACAAAAATGGAATCAACACATAATTCGTATGAGAGAGGATAGACTAGTTCTTACTGCTAGAGATAAGTCGCCAAATGGAAGACGAAGTATAGGTCGGCCAAGAAAGAGGTGGAGTGACAATCTGGATCGTGGCTAATAAAATCGAAGAAAAAACAGGCCATAAGCCTACCATGATAGAGAGAAGAGGAAGAAGAAGAAGGTCTAATCTCTTAATTATTGATTATTTCACTACGACAAAAATGACTTTTTCTTGCGGACGAAACATTTCTTCAATAAAACGTATGCCATCTAACCTAACTCCCTATCTTATAAGTTGTTCAAGTGTTGTCAATTTTCTTGAAAACAATAATAATGTCTGTTTTGAACCATTCCCTAACAGTTCGGAAAACTTCACCGATAATTGACCGACATTCTGCTGCAATTTGCCCTTTAAAATCATCAATATCAGCAGGTTGTGTTTTATAAACAATGGACCGAAGATGTCCCCAAAGAAAGAAGTCTAAGGGTGTTCAATCCGGTGATCTTGGAGGCCATTCAATTGGTCCCCGTCTGTCAATCGATATATCAGGGAATATCTTATCAATGTTAGGGAGGGTTCGAAGTAGAATTTATTATTGTTTACAGGAAAATAGATAACATTTTAAACAACTTAGAGGATATTTCTCTTCGGTAAATAAAAAGTTAAATAATCAGTAAATCCGAAATCAGTTGTTTAATCTAGATTTCCGTCTTGTTATTCAACGATTTTAACAATGTAACTTACTTTTCTAATCATTTGAAATCTGAAAACCAATATCTGAATGCACTCAAGTTTAATTGTTTCTACAACTTTGAAATGCGATTATTCGAAAACGTCTGAACAAAAAGCAACAAAATAATCCAAACAAATCCAAAGAGCATTGCACGCCCTTTAAAACGATGTGCCACTTGAGCCCCCTTCCCATTTAAAACTCGAAGGGTGACATCTAGCCTTCCTGGGGTGTTGAAACGGGGAAGTTAAAAATATTTATTTAAAGTGTTCCCCTTACAAATTAAATTAACGGGTTTATCCGATTTTTCATATTTTCAACTGCAAGAAAGGTATTAAGGATGGGAAGTTTTCAAATTGACACTCCGTATAGAAATTTTGAAAAGCAGAATTCTTGGATTGATTGTTTGTTCGATAAAAAAATATAGTAATTTGTCGTCTATAAGCCAACCAGTTTTCGAAATATTGAGAATTTAATGAATAATTCATTAACAAATTCGTGAATTATTTCTGAATCAACCGATGGGTAATTGCAATTTAATCATAGCAATTAAATTATATCATCAACTCAAATCATCTATCAAGTACGGGAAACTGTTTTTCCAAAAATTGAGAGTACTTTTCATCATTCAGACTAGCTGGCAATTCATATAGACCTACTGTACAATCGCCTAAAGTTTCTAAAATAAGTAGTTCAAGCGTTAATTTATTGCTTTAATTGAAAATATTCTGAAAACGGACAGTAACAAACAGGTGTCCCATTCAACCGCAAAAGCAATCAGTGTTGCAAATGCATTATTCAAAACTGTTTTTTTGCTTCCCATTAAAGGGAGTTGCTGAAATATAACTAAACAGCAGAACGTGCATAGCGCCGTCTTGTACAAACCTTGAAATTAAGCATAAATTCGAATTTCTCACCTCTAAAAGCCCACTATTGCAAATCAATGCAAAATTACAATTAAAATTTTTACTTTTAACTAAACTTAATTAAAATTGAAACTTTAACGCTATGTTTTATAGCAATAGAGCCATATTTTACTATGACATGTTTGGTCATATCCTATTAATTCGACTTCTAGAATCTGCATGAGAATCTATATGACGTATTTATCACGGATTACCCGGTATTGTGAAAAAGTAAATAAGAATGAAGTTACCAAAGTAAATCACACTTGACTTAAAGCAAAATGATCCATTTTAAGACCGATTATTCACCTTTGCCACTTTCGGCACTATCAGAAATGCGAAAAATCGCAAACGTTTGATCAGAGAAGAAAAATCTGTGATTCGCTTTCCCATTATGTGGAAAGGGTTGTTTGGAGATTTGAGCGAATCCACTTCGATCCCAAAAGCTGTTGTGGCAATTATATCGTTTGCAAATCTGAAAAAAATTAGCGAAAATTTGCAGGTTCTCTATTGTTCAAATGCCAAACATTTTTGAAAGAGATATTTTAATTTTTACCTCGAAAACGTATCCCTCATTTCTACTTCTATGAGTGCTTCATTTTTGGTTAAAAAAAAATTTACAAAATTTTCCGCAGCCCCATTCATAATATGGAACATTCTCTTTATTTTGCTGCTCGAAAATGAACCGCTCAGGGTGGCTCTCATATCTTTCCATTTCTGACCTGAAGAACAGAAAACAAAATACTATATGACAATTTTTATTTTATATGCAGCCTAACCTGTTAAAGCAAATAAGTTTGCAGCCCATAATGGATCTGCGTCAGCATCTACTAATATTCGATGATCGGTAAAGTGGTCGAAATCTCTGACAGTTAACTGTTTAAGTAACTCAGAATCCTTAATAACAAGAGTGGGTATACTGAACTGATACATGCCAGAATAGCTGTAAGGATATAATGAGAGAGAGTCACATACAGGGTGGTTTTTTAGTGCGAGACCATTATTTCCGTTGGTGTTGAACTTAGTAGTTAGTTAGAACTGAAAAATAGTTTCATATAAAAGGTGTTGACGCACGAAGTGCGCACATTTTAAAAATATCTTAGATGATACAGAGTGTTTCAGAAACGCGAGGCAAGATCAAAGTATATTTTTTTAAATAGAGCTACCCATTTTTCATTAGCTCATGGAGCGCAGCTTAAAACGCTGCATACGCACCGTAAATTTTGTTTCTTTCTTGCGACGTTGGTAGATTATCGCCAGTTTGGTAAAATTTTGCTTAAAAACATGGTATCCAAAAATTCATTGTAGAAGCAAGAAAGATACAAAAAAATAAATCTCTCCAATCACTACAGATCCATTGAGAATTCTATTGAACCAAAATATCAATACATTGTACAAGGTGTTAACAATGTGGACTTTAATCTAAAACTTTTTAACGCAATATACCTTTCGTTTTTCAAATGGAAGTACCTGTATATTAATACGTCAATAGATAGACAACTTACAACGTTACAAATTTGCATTTACACTTTAAGCTGTGAAATCAACCGTTTTCAAATTATAATTTATTTTATTTAAAAAGTTGTTACATTTTGTAAGGTGGCTATGGAATTCATTAAATGAGTGTCAAAATTTGATGATACTTGACATAATCAATGAAGAAAAGTGCAACGTTTTATATTCATATTATCAATATCATATTACTCAATATGATTTCCGTTAACATTTAAGCAACTATTAATATCTACGTTTTTGGTGATTCGTTCCTTTATGTCATCTTTTGTAGTGGGAGTTATCTTATCAATTATCAATTTCGTTCTTGACGCAAGCCCATAAAAAGAAATCCATTTTTGTCAAATCGGGTGAACTAGGTGGCTACTGAACAGGCCCACGTTTGCCTATCCACCTCTCAGGAAATTCGTTATTTAGGTACTCATGAATTTGAGCTGTATGGTGGACTGAAGCTCCATCATGTAAATACCACATTATTTCCGTAATATAATTAGGTAACTAATAAATTAAACGTGGCAATTACAATTTTTTTAAATTTTTAAATAAAATTAATTATAATTTGAAAACTGTTGATTTCACAGCTTAAAGTGTAAATGCAAATTAGTAACTTTGTAAGATGTCTATCTAATGACGTATTAATATACAGGTCCTTCCATTTGAAAAACAAAAGGTATATTGCGTTAAAAAGTTTTAGATTGAAGTCCACATTGTTAACACCCTGTACAATGTAATGAAATTTTGGTTCAATAGAATTCTTAACGGATCTGTGGTGATGAGATAGACGTATTTTTTTGTATCGTTCTTGCTTCTACAATAAATGTTTAGATACCATGTTTTTAAGCAAAATTTTACTAAAATGGCGATAATCTGCCAACGTCGCAAATAAGAAAAAAAATTCCAAGAGCTAATGAAAAATGGGTAGTTCTATTGAAAAAAAAAATATCTTGATCTTGCCTCGCTTTTCTGAGACACTCTGCATCATATAAGATATTTTTAAAATGAGCGCACTTTGTAAGTCAACAATTTTGATAAGAAACTATTTTTCGACAGTTCAACACCATCGGAAATAATGGACTCTATCGCATTAAAAAACCACCTTGTATGTAAGAGGCGAGTACATATTGAAACAAATAAATACTAAAAGACGACAGCACAGACATAAAAGTCACATCTACACAGATTAGCTTAACGGATTCTATTATCTAGTAACATAAAATTGCATCAAGGTGAAACATTTAAATTCATTGTAACAGTGTTAAATTCTTCACCATCCTTGATCTTACACAAAGAAAGAACACGGAGCACGAAAGGGTATAGGGAATTTTTCCTCATCGATGCATTAAAGATGATCATGTTAATTAGTGAGTTTATCTAACAGAATAACTTTTATGACTGTAGTTGAATTTTCATTTTCCCTTACTTTACAATTATTTATCTTTGGGAATATTAAACTGATTTCCTTTAAAATCCATGTGAACTTAAATAATGTTAATGCTGCATATAAAATCTTAATGAGAGTACAAGTGCAACTCGTTAAGTTGATACCAACGTAGCGAGTACTGGCTATAAAGGTGCCGCATTATTCGACTCAGACTTAAAT